TATATATATATATATATATATATATATATATATATATATATATATATATATATATATAGCTAGCTAGCTATCTAGTTGTAGGTTTGTGTGTGTCTGTGTGTTGCGGTATGGTCAGGCCGTGAGAGAAGCAGTGAAGGGTTGCTGGGGCTGCTTGGGCTGCTCCTTTCTGCTGCCTTCTTTGCGGGTGGTTTATCTACACAGAGACGCGGGGGTTTACATTCTACAGGTTGACAGGGTCAGTCGAGGGTTTAGGGTTTAGGGTTTAGGGTTTAACATTCTACAGCTCGACAGGGTCAGTCGAGGGTTTAGGGTTTAGGGTTTAGGGCTTAACAATTTATTTATTTTTTTTTTTTTTTGATCAACTATCTCTGTTCTTTGTGCTGCTATTGCTGCTGCTGCTGCTGCTGCTGCTGTTGCTGCTGCTGCTGCTGTTGCTGCTGTATGCAGAGTTATGTAGAGGAGTTGCTGGTTGCGTTGAGTGTGGTGAACTGCGTGGAGGGCCGCAGCTGCTTGGTGCGGGTGCTGCACACCGGGGGCAGCCTGGAGGCCGCCAGAGAAAAAACAAAAAATATTTTATTTTCTTCTCTTTCTCTGCATCTCACGCAGCTCATACACACTCAGCAAGAAGCTATAACACACACCTAGATTTTTGTTTAGTTTTGGTTTAGTTAGGTTTGGTTTTGTTTTTATATGGGTTAGAGAGACAGAGAGAGATAGATGGATTTGTAACTGGTTAGCAGCTCACTGCTGCTGCTGCTCCTGCTGCTGCTGCTGCTGCTGTTTCTTGTCGCTGTTTGGTTGTTGTTGCTGCTGTTGCAGCAGCAGCAGCAGCAGCAGCAGCAGTTGGTTGTCAGCTTCCTTGAGGGAGTTGAAGCTGCAGCAGCAGCTGTCGACTCAACCGAACTTTGTTTTTTTTCTTGTTTTAATCTTTTCTTTTTTTCTTTTTTTTATTTCCTCCTTCTATTTCTTCTAGGGTTTAGGGATTAGGGTTTAGGGTTTAGGGTTTAGGGTTTAGGGTTTAGATATGCATGAATTCAAAAATATATAACAATGCGGGTAAAAGTAATTTCGTTTGTGTTTTCTTTTGTTGTTTTATATTTATTTTTGTCTGTTTATCGCCTCCACTTATTTAAACATAATATAACATAATATAATTTATTTTATTTATTTATTTATTTATTTTATTTTATTTTATTTATTTATTTATTTATTTTATTTTATTTTATTTTATTTGTCTTGGGGGGCTGCTGCGAGGAGAGCGAGTTGTTCTTTGTCTGCAAATGCATTAACTAAATCCAGCAGCAGTTTTGTTGTTTTCTTTTTTTCTTTTTCTGTTTCTTCTCCTTCAGCTGTTGCAGCTTCTTTCGCCTGTAATTAAACTTATATATAAACTCTTTTGCTTCTCTTTTTTATATTTTACCTCCTGCTGCTGCTGCTGCTGCTGCTGCTGCTGCTTTTGGGTTTCTATCTATCTGTCTATCTCTATCTGTGTGTTTCTTTTTATTCCTTTTCATTTCCTTTTATTTACCTCTATTTCTATTTTATTTTTTTATTTTTACTTATTTATACTTTATTTATATTTTTATTTATTTTTATTTTTATTAATTTTTGTATTTATTTTTATTTATTTTTTTATTTAATTTGTTCTCACTTGGTTTATTTTCTGTACGGCGATCTCAAAGAAAGTTTTTAGTTTTTGTTTTTGTTTTTTCTCTGCATGCAAATTAATATCCATCAACAATC